ATGTCACCCCTTGCCGACACCACTGAAAGCTTGTGTAAAAACTCTGCAATAATAAAGACTTCACCATAAAGAACTTTAACTAACAAGAGGAATGAATCTAGGCACATAAGCAAAGCGTTCACAATGCATAAACGATGGCCCCAAAATGAATGTAGGTTTGGATAAAATCTTTTTCCTTTTTTTAAAAACATTTGTATTTGTCTGAATTTTGCTGTCATTCAAGTAAGAGAACAGGAAGTCCAACAGAAGGATAGCAAGTCCTAAAGTTTTCCCCAGGAGACAGTTATTACTAAGTTTTGAAAGCAACAGTCATAACCATCTGGCCTACATGTAAACCACCTTCAAACCATGATGTCATATGAAATCTAGCATGCAGTTGAATAGTACTTTTGAGGTTTATTCCTCACTGCTTTTGTAACACAAAAATAAAATGAGACAATCTTGTATTCTCAAATACCTCTTAAAAATAACCAGAGAATAAATATACCTTTCTAATGAAAAGCTCTGTGTGCTTTTTGAAAAGTTTCTTTCTCATTCAGTGTTTTGAAGACAAAGTTACAAATCTCTCAAAGGCGATACAGTTGCATCTGACCCACTTTCTACCACTCTGTGCTAATTCTCTTCAAGGCTTCAAGTTATAAAATTAGCATTCTGTGATATCCAGCATTCTTACTGCAATTCAATACCTGCATTCACCAAAATCTCAGGACAAAATGAGAATTGTTAAGCTGAGCACAAATATGTCATTCATAAGTAATGATTCAAAGAAAAAAGAGGAAAACTTATGCAATTTGAGCCTCTATTACAGCACTCGTTATTAACTTTAATATAAAAAGCATTATAGAGCATGATGATTATTGCTATTTGTGTTATTGCAGTAACACAAAATTCTGTAAGGCATACTCTGAACACACTAATGCATGCTGCCTCCCCGTGAAGCTGAACACATCATGGCTCACAATGAGTCTTTTTAGAAAGATCTCAAATCATTTTCAAATACTTTCAAGTATTCATAAAGCAGTTGGGCTCCATGCCAGCAAAAAGACTCAAAAGTCGAGAGAAGACTCCAAGGGCACAGAATGTCACCACCCTGTCACAGAGGGCAGGATGCAAAAACCAGAGTGAATAAAACACCATTCCAGTAGCCTCTAGCTCAGGCAATGCTTTTTCTACATACACTTCTGAGGTTTAGTTAACTACCAGCAGTTATGGGCATGGTCACTTAAAGGGTTGATTTTTTAAGATTCTTCTCTGCAAATCTCTCCTCAAATGCATTGAGTCAGCTGGAAAACTCATCTGCTTCTGAAGGCAAAAATGAATAAAATATAATATTGCCAAGTTACAAACTAATGAGTACATTATCTCCAAATCGCAAACGGCACTCCTGAGAAGAATGGGAGAGATCCTGATCTGACAGCACTTAGAACTACAGTAAAACACATGAAAACTGAGCAGTTACTCTACTTCACACCAATGTGACTGAGACCCAAATGCATAACACTAATAGCCCATTTGGGTTTTTTATAAAACTTTTGTTCTCATTACACAGCACATAAGAAGTCACTGAAATGCACATTTCTTAAACTACAATTAAATTAAATGTTAATACTAATGTACCTAACAGCATATATGAAACATTTCAGTGTTATGCTTATCAGAATTCCACCTTAAAAGATGCTACAGTGAAATACACACTTTAAGCCATGCTCAAGGCTTTATTAAAATAAGTGATCAAAAATTTGAGACTTGTTAAATCTATTTTCTGCTTTTAAATGGCACACACTGACATTCTCAGAGTTTCCTAACTTGAAAAATTTACTTTAAAAAGGAAAACTTCACAATGAGATTGAGGTCTCCTGTACCATAATTGAGAAAAACTGTACTGAGGTTTATGAAAAGTCACAATTTGTTTGACATACCCTGAGGTGCATGAAATAAAATACTACAACTTATATTGTTCAAGATAAATGTACAGACCTTGGCCATACACTTGAATATATGGTTTCTGAAATCAGTCTTCTGGAACTTTAAAAAGCAACTAATTCTTCCACTGTTCTTTTCTGAAACACAGATCTGCCAAAATAAAGGATGAATCCAGGTGTTCATTACTAGATTCAGAATTTGGCCCACAGCAAGAATTTATACCAGTTCACCAGTATATCACTTCCCCTCAGAAGCAGGAAATTCTGGTGCCTTCCCCTCATGCCAATCATGGTATCTGCTTTTATTCTAAACCACTATGCTATTTGAATCTAACAAAATAGTACAGGAGTCTCAAAAGAAAAAACATTTTCATCTGCACTCTGCCTGATCTCTGTTCTCACTTTTTCTTTCTAGTCACTTCCCATAGTAGAATGTTCTTTGCCTGTGCAATCCATGGCTGTGGTATCACAGAAAAAAAATCTTACAGTGGGTTATAGAAGCTGCCATCCCTGGTGAAAGTCTGAGAGCAAACGTACCACTTATAATTAGGATTCTGACAGGTCCTGTGAGAAGCAGAGTCTAGAGCCAGATGCAAGCACAAGGCAAACTTTTGCCCCCTGGTAACATTACAGGGAAACCCAGAGTAACCTACTCATCTTACAAGCAACAACACCTGCAAGCTAAAAAGCTACTAACAAAACTATAGAATGGCACTAAATACAAGGGATTAGCTTCAGCAATGCCAAAAGGGAGAAAAAAATTGAAAATAGAATATTGTAAAAGCAAAAGTAAATTGTAAAATAAATATTTCAGGTCTTAAATTAATAACAAAAAAGCCCATAAATCATCCTTACAATTGCTCCCTTTCCTATTGAACATCCATCCTCTCCAAATGGATGCCTATTACAAGGCATATGTTATGGGATACAGAGGACTGAAGGAATTTAGTTTACTAGTGCAGGGAAGAGACATCAGAAAAAGGGTTAAAGGAGCTGAAGAAAATTGTGGAAAGACTTAAATTTCTCTAGGAGACTAGGTATCACTCTGCACAGTGTGATTTTGTATAGAATGGCATGTGACACCAAGCCAAGACAGCTACACCAAAGGTTACCTTCCTCTCCATTTCTTTCCTCCTGTTTGGGGCCAGGAACCTAAGGATTTAAGGCACTGGAGGGAAAGAATGGCAAGTCTGAATAATGAGCTCATCCAACCATAAGAATATGATACTGTACAGTACCAACAGCAGTACTAACAAAAAATGTGGCAGAACAGGTTTTCCTGAAAGATTAAGTGGTTGCTGTGATTTCTTATCTATTTCAGGTACGAAATAATGAAAAAGAATAATTTTGACAAGCCTAGAGAGAACAGTACAAAGTATATTTGTTAGTGAGCTCGTCACAGTGACAACAGGCTCTCAGAAACACTGATGCTTCTGACATTCTTCTGCAATGTGCCCACTCGAGTAACTGCCTGTAAATTATGGCAAATCAGAAAAAAATTAAAAAAAACCACTTTTTTCAGCCAGGTTATTTTTATTCTGCTGTGGCTGCCTTGTGGTCAGTTCCTCTGTGTCCAGAGGCCTTAGGCCCCGTGGCACCAATAGCCATTCAGATTCGCTGAGCTTCTCACCTGGCATTAACTGTACCTGTTTGGCAGAGGCAGGAATGAATTTCTCCAGCCACGTTACAGAGCCCACGTCACCAAAGCCGTACTTCAATTTTATTTTTTTTCCCTATCAAACTGCCATGTATTGCATGAGGGAATAGGCAAAAATGAAGGCCACCAAGAGTGTATCAATAAAACAACATGTCAAATGACTGAACTACATGTTGAAGCAAGTCAAGTCTACTTCAGTTCACAAGATGTTTCTGAATCATGTGTATGCTTGTGTACGTATGTTCATTTTTAATTGATTTTTTTTACGTCCTTCATAGCTTGCTGTTTCATGTGATTTTTCATTCACTTCATCGCATTGTTACATCATAAATTGTGCCATAAATTAAGAACAGCAACTCACAAATCCTGCATGCCAATTTACTCGCACTGTTCCCTAAGTAGACATTTTAAAAAAAGCTTGATCAGCGTTAGGTTTTCTAAACATATTATTATTCACTGGGACTTGAATTAGATTTTACATAAGCCTACATCAAGCTGGGTTTTGTGTGTACTTTAAAGAGTCAGGATTTCACTTCTTCCTTCACTGACAGTCAGCCAAAGAGGAGACTGTGAAGTACACAGACTGAGGTGGGGAACTTATTTACTTGTTTTCCAGTAAGGTCCTTTTCTGTACAAATCTGAGATGCACTTATGATCAGCATCAAGTCACAGGATCTAGCGACAGGGATCACATAACAGCTGTAACGATGGCAAGGATAAGAGAAACTCTTTGTTCAGCATTTTTCTTCAACATGATAAATTCAGATTCTCCTTGTATTTTAGTTTAGAATTAACCATCCCAGCAGAGGCTGGTTTTTCTTTTAAGTTCAGCATCCCATGGTTACTAAAATCTCACTGCTACAGCTGCCAGAAAAAATGACTTGAAAACAATGCCCAATATGGCCTCACTGACAAACACCTAGGCAAGTACTGAATAATCAGATATGGGCAGTTCATGGAGAGAAAAAATCTGAGTCCATGCAGCAGAAAAGCTGCAAGGTATATGCTGCCAATGAGAACAACCAGGAAACTAAAGGATATGTCTAAGAAACACAGAAAGATGTTTTATACAAAAGAGAAAGTGAGTAAGCACATGCAATCATACAGCTGAAATCAGGGGAGCACAGAAAGCATACGATCTTGAAAGCACTAAAAAAGAGAACTCCTTAGGTCTCTATTGTTACACACAAAATTCAGCTTACTGGACACCTTAAACATAGAAACAGCATCTTATCTTTGTATATACTACTTTTAACATGCTCCATTTGTGCACATCTGAAGACAGCCCAGCAAGACTATGGGCTGAAGAAGGGAGGAAATACAGTGACAGCATCTGAAATACGAATGAGAGGAGGGGCCAGAATTCAACAGTTCTCATGTATGATTCAACAAAGAAGAAAAAAGAACCAAAAACCTCTTACCATTATTACTGTTATCATCAACTAAAATAATCTCTTTGAGCAGGTGAGCAGGAGTCCTGTCAATGGCTGAGTGAATGGAGCGCAGAATCACTGAGAGAGCTTCATTAACAAATATGAATACAATGCTGACCTCAGGAAGCCTGTCAGGAAATGTAAGGTTTCTGCACCTGAAGAAAAAGGTTTAAAAAAAAAAAAAAAAGTAAACTGTTGGAAGTCATGATGTCAACAGAAACTGTTTCCAAGAAGTCTATCCCCAGCCCTAAGAATGATAAGAGAGATTCTATAGGCAGAGATGAGAAGGCTTACATATTCACTCAGATCAAATATAGGCAAGAACCAGAAGAATTACTATTTAAAGAAAATCCAGTCCCTGAAAACAATCTCCTAAATCTGCCTGTGCAGCAGCCAAGGCCTACAGTGAACTCCCTTTTACAGCTGAAGCTCAAAATCAGATGCAAACTCCTGTTTAAATGCAGCTTACAACAGCAGCTGTTCACAATGTCTTTCTGGACAGTGTAGACAGGAATAAACAGTTAGCCCCTCTGAGCTTCTTCTCAGAGCTAAACAGTCACAGCTCTACATACACATGTAAGGTTTCAAATCTTCAGGAGAAAATATAGTTGTCCACACCTGCCTCCTGGACTCTAGAATGAGTACTTTAACCTCTGAAATCATTCAGTATGGAAAGGTCATCTTCTGTGGTGAACAATCTCTAAAAGCACTGTTTAAAAACGCTGCCTAGATGACCGAGGAGGTGAAGCAGGCACCAAATGACTTGGGCTCAGCATTGTCAAATCTGAGGGGAACCTTTGGCAAATGTGAATTTTTAGGTGCCACCAGGGTTTATTGGTATATGAAAATAGGACTTTCAATGTGTGTATTTCAGACGCAAAGTGCGTGGGAGACCCCTGAACTTACAATCACAGTGCTATTTTTAAATACTAACCCACACAGTTTTCTGAAAGATGCTAAGACCATTACAGATCCAGCTCCTGGAAGAACAGGCATGTTCATAGCACACGGTGTGTGTGCACACTGTTCTGCACTGACGCAAAAAAAAAATCCATATGCAATCTGGATACTGTTACTTTGTGGACATCATCTCTTACACACAAGTTGTCACCTCTTACACACAAGACGTACAAATCTGCATGAGAACAATGAGAAATCATAAAAAATATTCTAGTCTCCCATACACCTTTATAAAGCAAGCACATTTCTTTTTAATATAATAACTGAAATTTAGCCAAGTTGTGAAAATTTGGCTTCAAGCGAATGATGAACTAGTTAACATTCTTAAATATATTGAAATAATTTTCAGCATTAGCCTGTAGAGAATGTACAAAGCCTGTTACTTTAGTGATTCACTTGCAGCCAAAACGCCTAGAGTTAAAATATGACCCAAACAATGCTACAGCAAATCTATTCTTTAGCTGTCTTAGCTTAGGCATACTAATATTTGTTATCATCAGCTATATCAATGTACAGAGAAGTTAAGAATGAAACTCTAGCAAAAATTGTAAGATATGCCTCCTATCTGATAAAAAGCAACAGTGATTTTGGAAATATTTTAAATGGCAAAACATCCATGTATAAACTGAAACGTTCAAACAAAATTTCTGCTTCTGACATGCCTTCCATCCATTTGTAGGAAATTATTAGTATTGATTTTCCTACCTGCATTAATTTACATTTTTTCAAATTAGATCACACTAGACAGGACAAGATTTTCCATTGTCTGGTGCCCTGTGCAGGTAAAAGCAAAGTGTTTAATGCTGCGAACGTCATTTGACTCCATTTCCTTCACTATACATTAAAAGACAACTACATACCATAAAATAGAATCAGGATTCCATTGTGTCTGATTTCTTTAGTCTTTTTAAATGGATTCATTTTCAATGAGGGTACATTCCTAAACTGAGTTCATGTTTTCTCTATTCCATTCAGACTCTTTTTATCATCTTTACTTCCAGCTTGAAATTACTTCTTTTTCAATGTGTGTAGTTTTTTAAAAATGCATGTTCCTGCTTACATTGTTTTTCATATCAGATGCCAATAAAAATTACCTACTTTTTTATTATTTAAACAAATCAGAATTAAACCCAGACACCTCAGATCACGTACAGAATGCAGAGCACTTGTGCAGTTTCACAAGTATGTCTGTCGTCTTCTTTCTGCCAAGCTATGAGGAACAGAATTCTGTAATACCAGGAGTGAAAAAGAAATAGCTACAGCTAAAGGGTGCATGTACACATGTATAAAACATGCTGAAGGGGAAACAAGGGAGGAAATTGTATGGATCAAAATCTTAGATCCATTCAGACCTAAAAATTGAACAGTTGCATGGCAACCAGCACTGTACAAGTTTCAGTGGTAGCTCTGCCTTGGACTTGTCCAGGAGCCTCAGACAAGATCCCTAATGTGCCCCTCCTCAAAGTGAGGCTCTTGCTAAAAAACCCAACCCACAAAGTATACAGCACATTTAAGTATTCGAAGTGATTTTTAAGTATAAATTCTAAATATTATTTAGAATTACAGTAATGAGTATCAATCCAATGTAGCTAAAAAATTACATCTAGCAAACCTGCTCTTCTAAATAACATTGGCTAATAACACTAAAGGAACAGTTGTCATAGTTACCAGAAATTCAGAGAAACTCCTGGTGTTTTATTTCAAGCACAACTCTGGTAAGTGGAGGACAACATACATTATGTATCTTCTTTCAAATATTTGCTCACAAGAAAATCATATTCCTCTAGAATGCATGCACTGTGCTAAGTCAGTTTAGCCAGTCACATTTAAATTAGTTTAGCATAACTATGCAGTAAGAACAACAGAGCAGGAAAGATTTCCTGCATTAATAACTTATCTCTCAGACATTCTACACATATGTCTGTCAATTATGAAAAATAAATATTTTCTGCCATTTTTGAGAAGCTTTCACTAAGAGTTACACGGGTATCAGACAACAATGGCAACTCAACATTGTTTTTGTTTTAATCACTAAATGATACCTAGTCCACATTTTGCTTAAAACAGGATGCAATAAAGCATATTGCTAAAACCTTTGGAGTTAAAGTTTTATTTTAAGAATGTATGTGGAAGGAAGCCTCAGTTCCAACACAATAAGAATTTCTCAGAAGCATAAGCAGAAAAAGAATTATAATTTCTTCAAGATCTGGTAGCATTTTGTCATCAACCAAAATGGCAAATGGGAGTTCAAGATGTATAGGATAAAAAAATAAATCCTATTCTAGCATATATGAAATAAATAACACTAAATCTCTTGCAAAAGAACTTAACAATATGCTGGCTCTGAACAACATAAAAAAAGGGCTTTTCCCCCCATTTTTGGAGGAGTACAGTCCATTATTACAGAACTACAGCCAGTAAGTCAGTACTTCTGCTGCAAATGTAGAAATCTTTGTGATCATCATCATCTTCGATGACAACGGAGCAAAGGCAGGCAAACAACCGTGTGAGGAATTTGAATATAGAATTACCACACAAGGACAAACATGGCTAATGGGGGGTGGGGGTGGGGTTGGTTAGTTTGGAGGTTTGGTGGTGGTGGTGTGTTCTGTTTTGTTTTTAATTCTCCTGGAACCAATCCCTAAAAACATATATAAAAAAATTAATATGGAAAAATTAGATAATAGTCAGGGAACTTGATAAATATGCAGATAAGTTCCAAGACTGTAACACAAGAGTGATTAGTTCTTGGTCTCCTAAGCACCTCACAGCACAGATTTAATTTTAACAGATTGATTCCCAACTCCTTTTAATAAAAGCTACTCATGTTGATAAAATTATACAATAAAGGTCCATTTTTTTCTTGGTACTTAAAAACAAGATCTTTCTCTGATTAAAGCAGTAAAAACAGTAAGCTGGGAGTTGATGATCTCAATAAAGGTAATTTTTCAATGGACATGAGAAGAACTCCGTATAGCTATTTGGTCAAAAATTGTTAGCCTCTAACAGTATTATGTCAGGGATTATTCTGAGTATGCTTTAATGTAAATGTAGAGCATTCACATATTCTACAAGAGAGAGATATGCCAATTACTGCATCACATCTTTCAGTTCAAGGAGACAATGGGGAATATCAAAAACCAGCAAGTATACATCATTATTAACTTAGGTTGCTATAGCAGCTTAGAGACTGCAGATGATTTGGTATCACTGCTAGAGATAGTAAACACTTCTAGAGCAGCCATTTGAGGAGACACATTCCAACAGGACAAACTGAAGCACAGACTGGAATCGCAGAGGGTGGCTGCACAGGCAGTACGCACCACTGCTAGGAGTCGGTTTGAAGGCAAAAGTGAGACAAGGAGAATCAAAGACAGAGCAGGTAAAGCGAGCAGGGAATATGACAGAATTAAACATTAAGTGTTTAAAAAGAATGCCAAATAATTTGGTAATTTTAGAAATTCAGTTGAAAACAACACAATAGGTAAAGTGTCAGGCTTTTGAGCTTTTTCTAAAGGACTAAAACATCAAATACAATATGCAGTATTTATGCCCTCTTTCATGAGAAGAAACAAAAGAACTAGGTCAGAAATTGATGGGGAGCCATATCTGTCACTAACATAAACCCAGCAAATCAAACTGTTTCACAGACATCCATGGAAGCAAACACTTATGGAACACAAGTCTGTAGGAGTGGGCTTTTATGGAGTAGAGCTAACATGCAAATGCTCAACCTGAACCTCACTATTTGAGATCACATGCTCTTCCTACATCACTTTTAATAAAGGAAAATCTACAAGTTCATAGAAGCCTCATGTTGTGTACACAACATCCAGGACTGCATATACCACTGTGATGCTGATGGACATTTTGGACAGATGTACCCACAAACAGCTTTTGTCCTAAAATGCATCACTCACCACCAATGCTTTATTTTTCTCCCTTGTAGTCATGTTCGCATTCAGTGGATTTCTCACCTGCTCTGTTTGTGCCCACTTTATCACAAACCTAATTCTGCGCTCTTCAAGGCTTCTCCCATTGTCCCTTGCCAAATTTAGCCTCAAAGTAACACAGTTTGGGACTGGTGAACTGTTTCAGACAAGAAGTATCGACAAAATGGCCAAAGCCTTTCTCTGCACAGAAAACAAGACATCTCCTCTGAGCTTGTCTAGATGCCAAACAGAACTGACTCAGTTAGGAAAAGGGGAAACCTGCTGCAAGCCAAATGCTATGCCATACTATTTAGCAATCTCCAAAGAAGAAAAAAACATCGGACCTTTAAATGTTTCTTTTCCTGCTCCACCCTTCCTGCCTGTGCTTCTTCATAAAATACTGTTTTTACCAAAGCAAATGTCGTCTGGCTGACTGCAGTTCCACTGACTGAAAAAGTTGCTTTATGCCTACTGGTCAGCTCCTCATATCATATCAGTTACGCAAAATAGTTCCTCTGCTGGGGTCCTGGTGGGCATCTCTTTATCCATTACCCCTCACTCTCTCATCACATAAGCAAAGAATGTTATCTCTCTTTCCCACAGGTGACTGGGCACACTGGGTCAGGCAAGAAAAATTTACAAGCCAACAAAGCAGAATGCTAAGTGCGTCCACTTGAAAGGAGATGTGGTAAACAGGTTTAGGATCCCTGAACAACCTAACTTTTAATGATGTATTTCTGAATGAGCTTGTTTGACATTTCACTCACTACAAGCTTTGTGGGTACTGCCTGCCCTGCTGAGAAGTAATGAGCACACACAACACAGAAGTATTATCCTGTTCCTTCACAAAGTAAGGACCACATTGCTTTCCTCAATGCTTCCAAGCTCGTTAGAGTCCCCAGTTATTTGTTAGTTTGCAATGTAGATATGTTACAGGCTAACAGATGCATGTAAAGGTGGTAAACAGCACCACACCCAATTTCAGGAGCAGAAAATAAATGGAGACCTTCAGTGAGACAGTGTAAGCAAAAATCCACAATACTGCCCATACTATCTACTAAGTACTGCAAAACCAGAGCCTACTTCTAGATGTGATGGTTACTTCAGGAGGCTGGGACATTCAGGGGAATTATTTATTATAATCTGTATAACAACATTATTTTGGACTGTGCTGGGGACCCCAATGTGCTAGCACAAATATTCACAGCAAAAAGTCATCAAATTCTGAATGCTTTATCACAGGACATGAGGATCATGGCTGTAGAGAGGCTTAGAAATCATTCTGCAGTACACAAGAAGGTTCCACTGCAAGATGTGACAACCGCTATCTGCTGGATGTTCTCTCACCTGAATGATGGCCACTTTTTTCCAAAGAAGCCAAAGTTCAGAATCTTGGGCAGAGTGCACTGCCCTAACTACTAAATGTGGTTTCCCACTTCTGCATGCCAGCCACACTGGAGGACTGGTCAAGTTCAAATATTTGCCCTCTCCTCCACATGTGCTGTGGCTCAACAATCTCCGATTGACTTCTGGTCTTCTCATGGCATTAAGTGTTGATAATACCAACCCACGAAAAACCTCTATGCTGCAACATGGGGTTATAACCTATGTGGAGTGGCCTTTCTCACTGCAGATCCTTGCAAAGAAATGTTGAGCTCCTCTGCTAAGTTTTGATGTGAACTCTCAGAGCACTGCAGGCAGAAAGAAGGTCAAGGGCAAGTCATACCAGTGTGATATAAAAGGGGCTATTAACACTACAAATCCTTGGCAGATCACTCAATTATCCCAGTCTCAACAGGGCCAAATCATTTGAATTACATTAGACTTCAGTTTTATGTATACTTTTGTTGTCTTTCCTTCTTCCTATACTTCCTATGATAGGTTATGAATACAGATGATAGACTACAACCGAACCCAGACATGTCTATATGAACCCCATATCTTTAGCTACCAGCCCACAAACCTTTGCTGGGATTCCAATGTCATGCTGACTTGCAGACACAGCCAAATCCAGGCTGATGAGCTTGGTTAGACCTAGGCTACCTCTGTCCAGAGCTACTGTGGTACCTCTCTCTGTCACATCTGTGCTTTCATGCATTTCTAGTCAGAACACAAATAACACAACTGACTAAGGTCCAGCAAAGGTGATTAACTTGGACTCTATGTCACTTGCTTTGTGCTCTCTTTAGACCAAGCTGTCCTTGGCTTTCACACTATGCTGCTTGAGCCTAATATCTGCCTGTGGATAACTGAAATACATTTATGTAGAGTCTGGAAGTGACTAATGCAACTGGCTTTAAAAACAAGTGCTACAAATCTTAAAAATTTATTATTGTAGTGGAAAATACACCCTCACCAGGTGTTTTTTTTCCCCACAATACCCATGCGTGTACTCTCACACAAACTGGAATTTACACAGTAGGAGAAGGAATTCTTTTCTCAGCAACGTGATTTCAGAACACCCTGTAGCTCTGTACTTCACAGGGAGCCGTAGATACAGCAAACAGTTGACGTATCTGACAACACAGTTCACTTCCCTCAGTACGAGAAGTTACCACATTTCAGTGTCACGTTACCTGCTTGCTCCTGAACACTAATAAAGTGGGGAGAATCTTCCTGAACTACCAGTAGTAAGCCATTATTTGGTATGTGTGCATCCATAAACATACTGTAATGTCCAACATGCTTCTGGCAGACAGTTAATTGAGAATCAAAAATTTCACAGAAATTAGGACCATGTTTCATTTCCAACTGGAGTTTCTTTTAAAATCCCAACCTTAATTTATTTCTTTCAGTTGCAGTAATATTAATTTTCTGTCTTTTTAATTTTTTAAAACCTATAGTTATAGAAAATTTAGGCTGAAATAATTCAGGAGAGTCATTTTAGAACAGATATAAGAACAGACACATTTCTGTCATTTATGTCTTGTTAGTGACAGAAGATTTATTTTTCCTCTAAATTAGTTTACCATCTCAAAAAAAAAAAAAATTGACCTTACAGACAGTGCTAAACCGACTTAGCCAAAACACAATATATTTGCAGGGATTTTTTATTGCCTTGAAGTCGCTATTTCAGCAAAGGTTGTGCACTCTCTTGGTCCCATCCATCTCACCAAGCCTTTGTGGAGTGACAGCGGATGTTATTTACACATGCATGCTTCCTAGCAGAGAACAGCCCAGTGAAGGAGGCTCCACGGGTTTTCAGATGGTACGTACTGCTTCACTAAATTGCGTATTTCACCACTAAAGCTCAACAGAGTTTCACCTGCTTACTGATCCTTATCAGACACTTCAGGGATTTCAAAAAGGACAGTTCTTATCTTCTTCCTATCTTGCTCAATCTTGTGATAAAACTGAAATTTAACATTAAAAAGTTATTCTTTTAGCTCTAAAACACTTGCTATCTAATCTAAATTGTAGGTGAGATTAAGGTTCCAGAGCATCCTGGTGAACTTTCAATGAATACTTAGTGGGATTTTAATTACTTAACTAGGGCACTCCAGCATTTCACGAGACATCTAAAACTTCCCACCTTCATAGAGCTGATAGAAATTACTCATTCTGGCCACTGTATGCAACCTACCTTCTGTGTGATCGCACAACCTAACACCTCCAGGGGACAGGAGCCAAGAGACCCTACACTCGAGGACCTGCGGTGCTGGGCTGAACGGCGGCACTCACCCGTGAGGCCGCAGGTCGGGCAGGGGCCTGTCCAGCGGCAGGCGATCGCTCAGGTAGGCGTTGTAGCCGTAGTACTGGAATTGCTTCAGCGCGACACGTCTGCTCTCAGGACTGAGATCCTGACCCCAGTGAGCAAAGAGAGATGAGTCAGTGAATGCTTCAGCGGGATTTTCTTCCACTTTTGGCGGAGCCTCTACAAAAGACAAAAAGAAACAATTTTAGACTTTTGTTCCAACAGTGCTCTAGGGACACTACTTTAAAAATTGTTGCTTTAGGGAGAACACCACGTGCTGCCAGTTCATAGCAGCCTGTAAGTCTTTACATAACACACCCTCACATTCCTCTCATGGCAGTGTAACTATTAGCACCTAAGGCTCAAAATTTAATATTCCAAATACAGTCAGCTGATAATTCTTTTTTAACACAATCAGACTAAAGGCTAGGATTGATAAATCTAAATGAATTTTAGAAAGATTCTTATCAAGCAATTTAGTGTTATTGTGTTTTTATACAGAAAGTTGAATTATTTAATTTTAGCCTGAATTATCTTGCCAGAAAACAAAGATTAAATTTTCAAAGGGGAAAAACAAAAACAAATTAAAAGAGACGGTCTGTACAGAACACACAAAATGGCTGCTGAAGTCTGTGTGTAAAATAAGTTGAGACTACAGATTCAACAGACAAAAAATTTACTCCACTTGGAATCCATTTTTAAATAGCAAACCAGTTTCAGTCACACAATAATTTTAAGGTCCAGTTTGCCAATCCAGACTATTTGAATTTTAAGTCCATATTTAGGAGTGTGCAATGATGCCACTGCGACAGTCACTTCTTAATATCTCTGTCATTATAAAATGTTTTTCTTCCACAAGGCCACGTGTCTCTGGTTGCTATAACAAACTGAGAAGAATAGAAACGATATACCTAGAACTTAATTTAAGGAGAGCTCCAGTAAAGCACAATGAAACACGGAAGTGGCAGTGTTTCATATCAAAGCTTTACCATTGAGAAAATGCCTTCCACGGCACAAGGGGCACTTTACAAAATCTGAAAAAATACCTCCATATTAGCTACAGACATGCAGAAGGCATCCAGAAGGCTGTGCTGCCATTCAGAG